ATGAGGTTCTGCTGTGTCACAACGACCCCTTGTTTCCAGAAGCTGTTTCAAGGCCCCAAGGGCACCTGGGTTCCAAGAGGCCCTGCTGTACCTCAATTGACACTTGTTTCCATGAGATATCATTGCATGACAATGATCTCTAGGTTTCCGTGAGCTGCACTGTTTCACTGTGGGCACTGGGTTCCAAATGAGCTGGCAATGTCCCGGTGGCACCTGGGTTCCGTGAGACCTCCTGGGTGACAGCTGACCATTGTTTCCATGAGATTCCATTGTCACACAGTGGCCTCCCAGGTCCCATCAGTCCTTGCTATGCCACAGTGGAACTTTGTTTCCACTAGACCTGGCAATGTTGCATTGACCCCTGTGTTCCATGAGGTCCCTGTTTGTCACAATGGAGCCATTTCCATGACATTGCATGGAGTTACAATGGTCTTTTAGAGTTTGTGAGTTCCTTCTGTGTCACGATGGAGCCTTGATTCCTTGAGATTTCATTGTGTCACAATGGTCTCCTGGGTTCTATTAGATCCCGCTCTATCACAATGGACACAGGGTAGCAAGAGCCCTGGCAATGTCCCATTAGCACGTGGGTCCCACAAGTCCCTACTGTGTTCAAAAAAGAAACTTGGTTCCATGAGATTCCATTATGTCACAATGGTGCCCTGGATTTCATGAGGCCCCCCCGTGTTACAACTGAAACTTGGTTCCATGACTTCCAGTTGTGACTAAAGGGTCTAGTGGGTCCGAGGAGGACTCACTGTGTCTGAATCGAAACTTTGTTCCATGGGATTTTGTTCTGTCACAATGGTCACCTGGGTGCCATGGAGCATTGCTGTGCAACAGTGGAGCCTTGGTTCCACAAGCCATGGCAATGTGTCAGTGGGCCCTGGGTTCATGAAGGTCCTGCTGTGTCACAATGGAGCCTTGGTTCCATGAGATTCCATTGTGTCACAATGTTCTTCTGAGTTCCATGAGGTCCTAGGGTTTCAAAATTAAAACTTTGTTCCATGAGATCCTATTTCATCACAATGTCTCCTGGGGTCCATGAGGCTGTGCTCTTTTCACAACTGACACTTAGTTCCCTGAGATACCATTGTGTCAAAATGGTCTCCTTGGTTCCATGAGGCCCCACTGCCTCACAATAGAGCCTTGGTTCCATGGGACTCCACTGTGTCACAACTGTCTCCAGTGTTCCATGTGGCAGTTCCAGAAAAAGTGGACAGTTGCTTCCACATGTTTCCATTGGATCACAATGGTCTCCAACATTCTATGAGCCTTGCCATCAAAGAATGAACACTGAATTTCATGAGATTCCACATTGTTACAATGGTGTCCTGGGTTCCATGCATCCTCTTTGATGCAATTGAGACTTGGTTCCATGAGATTCCATTTCATCTAATGGTCTCCAGTGCTCTATGAGGCCACACTGAGAAACAGTGGACACTTGTTTCCATGAGATTCCACAGTGTTACAACAGTGTCCTGGGATTCATGCGACCCTACTTTGTCATAATCGCTCTTTGTTTGCATGAACTTTGGCAATGTACCAGTGGCCTCTGGGTTCCATGAGGCTCTGCAGTGGAACTTCACACTTGGTTCCATGAGACTGTATTGGGTCACAATGATCTCCTGGATTTTATGGGTTGTGGTGGGTTCTCAACTGACACTTCATTCCATGGGATTCCATTGCATCACAGTGGTTTTCAGGTTTCCATGAGCTGTCCCATATCATAATGGACACTGGGTTCCAGAAGCTCTGGCAATGTCCTAGTGGCACCTGTGTCCTATGAGGCCTCACCTTGTCAAAGTATCCTTAAGATTCCATGTTGTCCCAATGCTCTGCTAAGTTCCACGGAGCTGCGCTCTGTCACAATGGACATTGAGTTCCATATACCCGGCAATATCCAAGTGGCACCTGGCTTCCATCAGGCCCCACTGTGTTTACATTTGGTTCACCAAGATTCCATTGCATCACAGTAGCCTCTGGGGTTTCACGAGGCTGAAATTTTTCACAATGGACACTTGCTTCCATGAACCATGCATCTGTCCCAGTGGCTCCTGAGTTCCACAAGACTGTGTTTTGTCACACAGGAGCCTTGGTTCCATGAGATTCCATTGCCCTACAATGGTCTCACAGGATCCCTGAGGCCTTGCTGTGTAAGAATGCCATCTTGACAGGACAAGGCCTGGCAATGTCCCAGTGGCACCTGGGCTCCACAAAGCCCTGCCATTTCACAATTCTCTATTCATTCCATGGCCCCACAATAGTCTCCTGGGATCCATGAGGCCTCCTGGGTCACAACTAACCATTGGTTCCATGATGTTCAATTGCAGCACAGTGGTCTCCTAGGTCCCAGGAGGCCTTGCTGTGCCACAATGAAGTGTTCTTTCCACTAGACCTGGAAATGTTGAAGCAGTCTGTGGGTTCAACTCACCCTTGGTTCCATGAGATTCCATTCTGACACAATGGTCTCCTGTGCTCCATTAGGCCTGGCTGTGTCAGAACGGGCACTGAGCTCCACAAGCAGTGGCAACGTCTCCGTGGCACATGGGTTCCCTGAGGCCCCACTGTGTTAAACTGACATTTTGTCTCATTAGAGGCCTTTGCATCGCAATGGTCTCCTGTGTTCCATGAATCAAAGCTTTGTTACTATGGACAGTAGGTTAAAAGAACCCTGGCAATGTCCCGCTAGCTCTTGGCTCCATGAGGCTGCGAAGGGCCAAAATTGACGCTTAGTTTCATGACATTCCATTGCTTCACAGTGGTCTCCTGGGTGCTGAGAGCCCACGCTGTGTCACAATGAAGCCTTGGTGTCTTGAGATTCCATTGCATCACAATGGTCTCCTGTGCTCCATTAGGCCCAGCTGTGTCATAAAGGACACTTGGTTCCATGAGCAGTGGCAATTTCCCAGTGGCATTTGGGTTCCATAAGGCCCTGTTATGTTAAACTGACAGTTTGTTCCATGACATTTGTCCTGGTTTGAGAGGAAGTGAGTTTTTTGGGATGCTGTGGTGAAACCAACAGGTGCTCAGATTTGAATATTGGTGCCTGGTGTGGCCACTGCGGACATGGATTCACCTCTGAGCACACAGGGGGTTAAAAGCAGAGAACTCCCAGGGGAAGCTCTCTTGGTTCCGGTGGGTGAAAGGTTCAGAGCTGCCCTGCCCGGCTGCGGGCTGGGTGCGGGAGGGGAAGCCATGCGGCCGGGTGAGGGGAGCCGGGCCTTGGACAGAGAAGGGAGCTGAAGGCCCCTGCAGGATGGAAGGGTGGAGGAGCACTGACAGGCATCGGGCAGCGGCCACAGAGAGAGAGAGAGAGCCGGTGTCTGTGCCTGTGCCACCTTGAAATTTGCTACCTTGTGCTGGCAGCACAGCCGAGAAGGAGAAGGGGTGCAGAGAGAAGGTGCCCGGCAGGGCAGCTGTGGGAGTTCTGGACAGGCAGAGCCTGAGATTTTAACCCTTTTCTTGGATGATGGAAACCTTACAAATGCTGATCCTCCTGGAGCTGAATGAGAAGAGATATAGAGATAAGGTAAGAGGAAATGGCCACGAGAGCAGTTGAGAAGAATCTTGGTGGGAGGGATGATGGAGTGGCCTTTGGCTGGACTTTTCTTGTATAGCCATGGGCAGAACCACTTATTCTGTGACACAGAGACTGCATTTAGGGGGAGGCAATGGCTTGGAGCCAAGAGAGTGCAGTGATGTGATGTGAAGGAGTGGCATGAACAGAGATGACAGGCGAGGAGGGTGGTTGGGGCCCTCAGTCTTCAGGGAAGAAAAAGAAGATCTCTGTTCTTGGGACTCCTCAGCCCCAGGGGGTGAAATTTGGGGGGGACAGGTGTCCTAAAGTGAGAGACTATGCTTTTTTTGGAACTGGACAAAGCATCCTTAAAAGGGGAACTCTAGAAGCAGCTTTGGTCCATGTGCAGTGGTGAGAGCAGTGGACATGGAAGGAATTGTCATGATGGCAAATGATCTCCGGGCAGTGCCACGTGTGACACGGAAACACAAGAGGTCTCAACTGTGTTTCCAGGGGAAGCCTATGGCACAAGAGGGACTCCTCTCTCCTTGTTGAACTGAGAATTGATTATCTAAAGGGTGGTGGTGGACTGAGAGTTGGTGATCTGAGGGATGGATGGATTGGAAATTTGGTGGAGGGAGGAGGAATGGTTTTGGAAGGTTTTCATTCTGAGTTCTGTGTGTGTTTCTTTCTATATATAGTTGTAGGTTAATAAAGTTTTTTTCTTCTTCATTCCTAAGTTGGAGCCTGCTTTGCTCTCTTCCTGGTCCCATCTCACAGCAGACACCAGGGAGCATGTATTTTCATGGGGGCACTGGCATTGCGCCAGCGTCAAACCCTGACAACATTCCATTGTATCACGCTGGTCTCATGTGTTCCATAAGGCCCCACTGTGGTGACAACTGACAGTTGGTTCAATGACATTCCATTTCCCCACAATGTTCTTCCAGATTCCATGAGGCCCTGCTGTGTCACAATGGCGCACACTTTCATGAGCCATGGCATCACCTCAGTGGCACCTGGGTTCCATGATACCTTGCCATGTTCACAATTGACACTTGGTTCCATGAGCTCCCGTTGCATCACAATGGTCTCCTGGCTTCCATGAGGCCTGACTGTGTCACAATTGACCCTTGGTTCCATGAAATTCCTTGAGTCACAATAGTCTCCTGAGTTCCTGTCCTGGCTCAAAAGACAAGTATGTGCCAAATAAGGCATGAACCCTCCTGCGATAGGTTCATGCCTTACTTTCTTCCAAATTATTATAACTTTGAAATTACTAGGCTTTCAGGCAAAGATATAGGAAAAGGAATAACAATTCTTTACTAATAGATAAATACATAACAAGACAAAAAAACAAGACCAGCAGCAACAATATTAAAACCAGAATCCCAGAGGCAGCCCTCACTCAACGGTCAAGGACCTCCCCATGGGTGCAGTTCTGGGCACGGCCAGCAGCGGCGCTGGCGGCTCCCAAGCAGGCAGGGGCTGTCAAGGACCTCCCCATGGGTGCAGTTCCGGGCACGGCCAGCAGGGGCGCTGGGGGCTCTCAGGCAGGGCAGGGCAGGGGCTGTCAAGGACCTCCCTATGGGTGCAGTTCCGGGCACGGCCAGCAGGGGCGCTGGGGGCTCCCCGGCAGGCAGGCAGGGCGGGGCGATGCCCGTTCCGTGGCTGCAGGGGGCGCTGTGGCGCGGGCTCAGAGGCCTCTGCCCCGGCCATGGCGGCTGTGGGGGCGGCACGGGGAGAAAGGGGCTGCTTTCGCCAGAGCCATGGCGAGCAGCCGGCCTCAGCGCCACTGCAGGGGCAAATGGACGGCAGCAGGAACCTCGGAGTGTCAGCTGGAACAGAGGGGAGCAGATCCCCGGGGGCGGTGAATGAAAGTGTAGCACTAACCCTGGAGCGGTGGCAGAAGCAGAAGCAGAAGCAGCGGGCTGTCCTGAGGGATGCAGGGTGTTGCACTAGTGTAGCAAAAAACCCTTAATTAAGCAGTGGCAGAAAACAGCAGCGGCTGGGTGGGAGATTTCTCCTTTGCACGGCTCACTGGTGATGTCCGGTCCTGAGGCTGGGTCACCACGCAAAGGGAGCAGCCTGGTAGGGGAAGGGGTGCTCCCAGCTCCCAGCACACCAGCCCTGGGCTCTCAAGTGGCAGAGCAGCAGAGAAGCAAGCTGGCAACCCTAGTCACAGTGCCAAAGGAGAAAAAAGAAAACAAGGAAAAAAGCAAAAGGCCAAAACTGCAGGGCAACAGTGTCTCAAATGAGATGCACTGTGCTGCATGGCTGCTGAGTTGATCCCCCCAGCCTGAAGGAAGAGCAGCCTCTGGATCAGCCCAGCCCCCACAGGATCCCAGGCTGGCCCTCCACCCATTGCAATATTCTCAGAGCTGGGGAGGGGAGGCAGTGGCCATTATGAACACAAAACAAAGAAACCCCAAAATGGTTATGAGATATGAACCATCCCCAAGACAGCTCCATGAGGCTGCACTGTGTCACAATGGGCACTGGGTTATACCAGCACTGGCAACATCCCAGTGACACCTGTGTCCCAGGAGGCCCCACTTTGTCAAAGCACAGCTTCAGTTCCATGAGATTCCATGCTGCCACAATGTTCTGCTGAGTTCCATGTGGCTGTGCTGTGTCACAATGGACACTGAGTTCCATGTGCCCGGGCACTATTCAACTGGCACCTGGGTTCCATGAGTCCCTGTTGTGTTTGCAGGTGACACTCGGTTCCCCAAGATATCATTATGTCATGGTGGTCTCCTGCATGCCATGAGGCCCCACTCTGTGAGGCCTTAAAGAACCGAGAAATAAAGCAACACCTTTTGGAGATAGTATTTGTATAGGAGGTAATATAAAAGCTGGTCTTTATTGGAGGCCTCCAGGAGTAGATATGAAAAATGTCCACAAAATGCCCACACCCACCACAAAGGGTGAATACAGTTTTGCAAGTTTAGCAGATTAGCATTGTTGACAAAAATCACTAATTAGGAGTGCAAGTGGTGATGCAATTCCCCCCTGGGTCTTCTAAGCCTTCCTCCCCTCTGGTCTTGGTTTAGGGCAAATCTGGGAGAAAGCCCCCAAAAGAGGCCCCTCCAGAAAGCCAACCTACACAGCCTCTCTTCTTCAATCAGTTAGGGACGAATTTCTTCAGAGAGAAGTGGAAAAAAACCCTGTTTATTTAATAGGTAAAGCACTCCCCAGCTCACAGAATGAACTATACCAGATGACAACACTCACTTGCTGCTCTGAAGAGATGACAAATTCAGAAAGTGTCTCTGGTGGGTGGTCACTCCGTTCTCGGTCCCTCTGGCGCTGGCAAAGGCTGCAGGGTCTGAGCTCTAGGTGATTCCCCAGGTCCCGCTCTGGAGCAGCTTCAAATGGCTCTAAGAAAAAGGGAAAGAAAAACAGTCCAGGGAAAACTCAGACTGCCTCAGCTAGCTAGACTAACCAACTACGTAAAAAGCAAAAGGAGTATGTTGTTCTGCCCTGTCTGTGCCTAGACATCAACAGTCCAGCCAAATGTGGAGGAGTGAGTGAGTGAGTGAGTGAGTGAGTGAGTGAGTGAGGCTGATAACAAACTCGGTGCTTCTTCTCCCTGCCTTTGCTTTCAGCCAGTCTTGAAGGCACAGAATAGAACACCCAGCACAGACAGAACACATGAGGGGGGATACAAGCATCATAACGTCACCCTAGAACACCCTCCAAAGGGACTGTACTTTATGAGAATTGGTCCGGAAGAGCTGGTTTTGACCTTGGTTTCTAAGGAGAACCAAGACAGGATAGAGGCTTTGAAATGTGTTTTGTCTTTCTGTGTAGGGAAATAATGAAGCTAGGCTACAATAACAGACTACAAAGCTACAAATACAGCTCTGTAGTTTGTTATTGTAAATGAGTAAAGAATGCAGAGACTATATAAAAGAAAAAAGGCAGAAATTCTGCATAATTCCTCTTTTTTAGAGACTATGTTGTCTAGTTTGCTCCATATTTAACCACAGCATCATATAATAGATGTCAACTATACACTTTTTATTCAGGCCCACTTGAGTAACCATGAAGTGAGTGTACTGAAGATATATCCAAAGTTCAACAAGACTTTTGAAAGCTATCTAGTGTACAATTTGAGTTTGCTTTCAAATTTCAACCAAATCTTTAAGAATTCTTACACTCTGATCTACATAATAACAACTACATTATTAATATTTCTGTGGCTAGTAGGAAATTGAAAGGTATCCTGTTTGGTAAAACTATACTAGAAAAATCATGGACTTCTTCTTGTAAGGCTGAAATTGCGTTTGAAGTTTTGCCTTTCAGCGTGTCCAATAATCCTTGATGTGATCAGATATTATGTGTGGAATTACAGCCCCAAGAGCACCGGCCTGATCTTTATCTAGGGGCAAACCTACCAGGCCAGATTCTCACATATCCAGTATCACCCTGACAAGTTGTTCTTATGAAGAGCTTTTGGATACACTTTGGGCTCCACTTACATGCAAATTTTGGGGCCAAACTTGAGTTATGGTTACCAACTGTGCAGATAACAAGCACAAAAAGAACAATTTAAACCACATCATCCTGATTTGTGTCAGTCTCTGTTTTCCAGCTGTTTCAGCAGAGATTTCCCCAGATAATATGACAAATCTCTGGAGCTTCTGCAAAGTGGAACTTCAAACAATTAAATCCCTCTGTAAGTTAATTTTTCCCTCATATATGAATTCCTCCTGTGAATATATATACATAATTATATATATATGTAAATTATATATATAACATATATAATATATACAATTTGATATGGCCTGCCATGTGATGTTTCATTAGGACTTAGGTTGTCTTTTTGCTTTGGTATCGGAATAACTCACATGAGACTTTATTTTCTTCATGGTGAAAAAGCTTATTCTTTATTCAAGTAACTCGTTTTTATACAGTTTTACATACCTTGTGTGTGTGATTCCAATTGGGTTAGTAGCTTTCTTGCCAATTACTTTATTGGTTAGTAAGAGATACTTTACTTGTCCATCAAATCTCTCTATAAATTTGTTTACATATTTTCTCTTCTGGGTCTCATGGGATAGATTTAATGTTTATGCAGGCACTAGTTGTTTTTCATCCAGGAATAAATTGTTATGTTAACGAACTCTTCACACCAGGATTGCTTTCACATGGGAACTTGCAAAGTGCTAGCTTGACAAGGTCACTGATCTAACAGAGCAGGCCTGATTTTATGAGGCCTTTTAAAATAATTTTTCTACCTTACTGCAACACTTTGGTTGTATGTGGATTCTCAGTAAGGCTCTGGGTAAAACCTGAACTCATGTCATGGATGTTTCCAACAAATTTTATATATCTGCGCTTTGAGGGTTCCAGTCACACATGCAGTCTTACCATTTATCTGGGATGTGTAGGGAATTTATAGATCCCAAACAATTCCCAGCATTTGACTAACATCTCCAATCACAGGGGGACCAGCTCCACAGGAACCCCAAACACTGGAATGATATGAATTAGTAGAATATCCACCACTTCCTTTTGTTGTGTTGGTGCAACAGGGGTAAGCCTCAGACCGTCCACTAAAGGTATCACCTACCCCTAATACACACCTGTATCCTTTCTGGTTGGTAACTCAGAATTTATTTGCCAACAATGTCCAGGAGAACCCCCTGCCTCTGATATTTCTAACACAACTCTTTTGCTCATGTTTGGGTGGGTTCCAGAGAAGATTTCACATTTGTTACAGATTGTACAATATCAGTTTTTTTCCCTTTCTGTTACTGCTTTCTTAATGTTTCAAAAGGTTTCTTGTTCCCCTGCAAGTGTTTTTTATGTTCTCGCTGAGGTGGGACTACAGTCTGCCCCTCTGGTGTAACAGTCCATTCACTTTCCTTGATTTCAACCTTTGTGCCAGAAAACTGATGGCTCTGGTGATCACATTTTGGGGCAAACCTTGTCAAACTGATTTCCTTCTGTAGCACCACTGTTAAGATCCTTTTTCTTGCTTCTTTTACTATTTTATCAACAAAAAGATTCTCTAACTCAAGAGTTGCTTCCCCATTTTGATGAATCTTGCAATGTATAAAGGCTGCTTCTCCAGACTCCTTAATACTCTCTAGCAGTGGATGGGTCTGTTCAGTGTGTTCAATTCCAGGCCTTGAACAGTTGCCAGTCCTCTCTCTTTCCAGATGACCTCACCGAAAACATTAAATGCATATTCAGAATTAGTCCATATTTTTACATTCTTTCCTTCGCTCAGTCCTTGGCCTTTCTTATTCACAGGGATGCAGAAGGTATTTTTAAAATTTAATTCAGTAAACCATCCTCAACTATCTGTTATTCTCCACACTTTGCAAAATTCCAACAGATCCTTCTTAGAAGCATTTGGCAAATAGGGTGAGTGATGCATCACCCAGTGTTTTCCTAATTCATATTTTAAAGGTTGAAAGAAGGTCTCAGTTTTCAGCTACAAAGGTGACATCAGTCTTTGGATTCCGCCTCTGCCTTCGCCCACCGTGGCTGTAGAAGAGTTAGAAAAAGTGATGAAAGGGAAAAGAAACCCCTTGAGAAACAACCCCATAAGCAAATTCCCTCACCCCGCTGGGACAGAACAAGTGGTCTAACAAACCTTACGAAACAGGTGGGATCCTGTAAAATGTTACAATTTGGTTTCTAAGAGCCTTGATTTTCCTGAAAACACACAAATGCACAATTTCACGCTACACAACAAAAAGAGCTGCCTTTATGTTACCTCCTGTGGGGTCCTGGGACCGTGGTTCCTAACCCCTCAGGTCACTGTATGGAAATTCTTAAAAGTCTTCAGCAGGAAAGAGTTCCTTGCAATATGTTTCTGGTCCAGAGGGAGGCTGCTGGGTCCAGTCCCATCTGAGATGCCAGAAAAACTGATGCCTTAAAAGCCTTAGAAATGAAATAACACCCTTTGGAGATAATATCAGTTCAAGAGGTAATATAAAGGCTGGTCTTTATTAGAGGCCTCCAAGGGGCAAATATGGAAGATGTCCACAAAATGCCCACCCCACCATGGGGTAAATAGTTTATAAGTTTAGCAAATTAGCATATTTGACAAAAATCACCAATTAGAAGCGCAGGTGGTGAGGCACGACAAAGTTCTTTGGCAAGAGTCACTCTGCCTGTGACTGGAGACTTCAGGCACAGCAAGGAAACAAAGCAACAACAAAGCAAAACAAAATCCAGGCAATCAAACCAGAAATGGACCAAGACCTGTCCGTGTGTGTTTAGGTGCATCTGACAAAAGGACAGTGGGGGGAAGGATAAAAGGAATATGGCCTAAAAACTTAACAGCACTCAAACACTCAAATTTAACTTAACCTTAACTTATATCTTAAACATAACAATTTAGCAAAGGAACAGCACTTCACAGTATTTAACCCAACTTAAGACTTAACAATTTACAGAGGGGAAGTGTTTAATTTAGCTTATAACTTATATTAAACCTGGAATTATGGTAAGGCACTTCACAAAGCACTGACTCAGCAAACTCTAACCTGTCCAACTTCAAGTTATCCAGATTTTGAGAAGTCAGGAAAAGAGTGAGAGGGAGAGACAGAGCAAGAGAGAGAAAGGAAAGAAATATCCACAGCCATGGCTTTAGATCTAGAGTCATGTCAGCTGATATGGGATGTGCCAGTGTCACACCCGTGTCATGGCCTTTACCTGCTCTGGTCCCTCTCACATGCGGGATTTTTGGGGTGCCACGGGCCTGGCAGCCACTTTGGGGCTGGGCCAGAGGCTGCAGTGCTGGGGCAGCAGCCACCCCACCTACACAGAACTTGCTCTGACCTCCCAATTCACACTGGAGATGTCTGGGACCATTCATCATTTCTCTCCTCTCCAACGCCGAGGCAACAGACTCTGGCTACAGCTCTGAGCTCGTGCCCAAGACAACCACCCTGGCAATGGGGCTCCATGGAGCTGCTCCCAGGAACCCCCCGAGAACTGGAGAGTACCCCAAAACCACTTCCAAAATGTGGGATGTCCCAAAATCCCTGCAGTCAGGGCATTTGCGGTGCTTTCCTTACCAGTGCCTCTGTCGGTGCTGGGACAAGTGAGAGCCCCTGGGGAAGCTCTTCCCACACTGCTCACACAGGTAGGGCCGTGCCCCAGTGTGGGTCTGCCGGTGGTGGTTCAGGTTGGAGCGATCGCTGAAGCTCATCCCACACTCCTCACACCTGTAGGGCTGCTGCCCAGTGTGGATGCGCATGTGGACTATTAGGTGGGACCTCTGGTTGAAGCTCTTCTCACATGTCCAGCACTTGTAGCTGTCACATATCCTGATTTCCACACACAGGTGGTTGTGAATCTTCCTGAAGCTCTTCCCACATTTCTCACAGTTGTTGGGCTGTTCCCTGGTGTCAATGCACTGGTGGACATCCAAGTGGGTGCTCTGGCTGAAGCTCTTCCCACATTTGGGACATTTGTGGGGCCTCTCCCCAGTGTGGATCTTCTGGTGGCGGAGCAGGTTGGATTTCTGGCTGAAGTTCTTCCCACATTCCTCACACACATAGGGCTGTTCCCCAGAGCAATTTATCTTGTGCTGGTTTAGTTTGAATGTCTCTCTAAAGCTCTTCCCACGTTCAGAGCGCTTGCAAGGCCTTTCATTATCATGAGTATTCTCATGACGGGCCAGGTTGTTGCTACGGCTGAAGCTCTTCCCACATTCCCTACACTTGTAGGGCTTCTCCCCAGTGTGGATCCTCTGGTGTTTCTTCAGGTTGGAGATGTGGCTGAAGCTCCTCTCACATTCCCCACACTTGTATGACTTCTCCCTGCTTCGATGGTGCTCAGTGACCATGTCTGAGCTCTGGCTGAAGCTCTGTCCACCCTCCTGGCACAGGGAGGGTCTTTCCTCCTCACAGATGCCAGGGCTGGGTTTGCAGCCCTTCCTCGTGCGGGATCTCTGGGGCTTTTCCTTCCCGTTGGATTCCTGCACTACAGAATCGCTCAAAACGGCCTCCTCCACAAGGTCCTGCTGCGGGGATTTGTCCTCCCTGCTCTCCATCCTCCGCTCCTATTCTGCAGGAGGAAGGACAACGAGACGATGGGATTTGCCTCCGTGCCACAGGGAAGGGGCAAGAGATACTCCCAAAGTATCTCCAGAGATACCCCCTGGCAGGACGGCACCGGCACCGGGGCTGTGCTGCAGCCGGGGCTGTGCTGAGCTGGGAGATGGAGCAGCAGAGAGGGGGAGAGGGGCACTGAGTTCCTCCTCACCTGCCTCAGTGTCCCAGGGCATCTTCCTCGCAGCCTCCTTCTCCATCTGACCAAGCTTTGAAAATAAGAAATCCTGGTTTGGGGGGTAAACAAGGTGTGAGTGCCTTGGGTTGGGTGTTCCTCCTGCCCAAGTCCATCTCTGGAAGTCACCAGGTGTCTGGTGACCGTAAAACCTCCAATAATCAAGAGTGAATCCCAAACAAGCCTTTCCCTTTCTAATCTCCTCACTCTGAGGTTCTGAGGCCCCCCTTCTTGGGGCTGCTGGAGGTCCTGTGGATTCTCCCACTCTGGGGTCCTGCTTTGGGATGCCTGGAGGGTTTTGCAGGTCCCACAAGTCCCTTCTCCCTTAATTCGGCTTTGGCTCCCAGGGGTCCCAGGCTCCCCACACTGTAGGCACTCAAGGCTCACCCCTCTCTTGGCGACCCTTTCATCTCCTGGACCCTGCTCATCTCCAGGCTCCACCACTCCACCGGGCTGCCAGGGCCGAATAGCAAAGCCTCTGGCCTTACAAATATTGAAACAGCTCCATGCAGGGAGCCCTTGGAGTTCCTGAGGATTGGCAGAAGCCTTACTCAAGATGTCCTGCCTTGGGTATTTTTGGTATGGCAAAACAGGCTCCTAAAGGTTGCTTGATTTGTGCTAACACCAAGGTTTGAAAGACGTGTTGGCCAAGGAAGGCTGGAACCTAGGAATGGAGAATATGACCACCTTTCCTCACAATTATTATAATTTTGAAATTAATGGATGGAAAAGGGATTTCCTTTACAAACCCCAGAGGGCAGGAGGTGACAGTGCCCCCTCTGGATAGCAACAGGAGCTAGAGGCAGTACTTCAGGAGCAGCAAGCTGCAATGGCAGGGCAGGCTCACCCGGGGCAGCAGGCGAGAGGGCCCTGCCCGAAGCTGTGGGGTGTCCAGGTGATGGGTTACAGTCTGTCAGTGGGGCCCGACAGGGAATCGCTCCCTGCCATTCCTCACCAGCAGTGCCTGGTCCTGGGCTCTGGATTTGTGCAGAGGAGGCAGCCCCTGGTGGGGAACGGGATGCTCCCGCTCCTGGCACGGCACGCACCGGCTCTGGGCTCCCAAGCAGCAGAGAAGCAAGCCAGCAAGCCCAGTCACAGCGCCAAAGGAAAAGAAACAAAAAGAAACAGACAGAACCCATGGAAGCAGCAGGATCCCCGGTCAGAAACACCAGCAGTGTGGCCACTCCAACAGCTGGCTGGAAGGAAAGGAGCTGCCCCAGACTCTCTCTGGAAACCCCAACTTGGCTCCCACTCATTGCAATACTCCCGGAGCAGCAACCATCCCAGACAAAAAACAAAACAATGAACCCCAAAAACTATATGAGATAAAAAACCATCCCCTAGACACTGCTACAGGTAGATAATGAGATGATTGGCTCTCACAATTAAGGGATGACTATTGTGTGTATATTAAGAAAAGCTATAGTGATGTATAGTTATGTTATTCTAGTTTAGATGTCCTCTGTTCTCCCCATAGATCCTTTCCCCCCTCTGCATTGCTGTTTAAGACAGGTACAAAGAAGGTGTGCACACCTGCCTTGCATGGGGCAGTTGGGAATGGAAGCTTGGTGCTCAGGGGGCGAGGCATGGCAACACATGACCTCCAATCCCCTTACAAGAAAGCATCTCCACCAATAAATGGCACAGAAGAGCTGCCTGACAGACTTTGGGAAGGGCCAGGGGTATAAAAGACTGAGCATCCATCTTGAAGATGAACTGGCCATGGGGTATCCATCAGGGTAGTTCCCAGTGCTGCGAATTTTCCCTTATGCAGTCCTTTTGTTGTATTTTTGTCAAAGTTTAATAAACCTTTTAAATTTTCAAAGTGAGCAGTTGTTTCTCACAACACCAAGTTAAAAAGAAACTTGCCAGAGGAGGGAGGCCTTGGGCCTTGTCCTATGTCCCTTCCAAAGATGCCAGGTGGATTTTACCAGACTGCCCCAAGTGGGAAGGCTGAAATATCTTCTGGTGACAGCATGTCAGCTAACAGGGTGGCCAAAAGCATTTCCAAGTGCTTCAGCAACTACAGGATCAGTTATATAAGTATTTTTGGAACAAATAATTTGAAGATATGGGATCATGGATGCAATAGACTCAGACAGAGGAACTAATTTTACAGGAAAAACTCTCCAAGGGGTTATGACTGGCTTAGGAATACAATGGAACCTCCATCCCTCCTGGCACCCCCAGAGCTCAGGTCAGGTAGAAAAAAAAACGAGTGAAGAAATAAAGAAACACCTTTTGAAGCTAGAAACAGAAACCAAGATGCCATGGGTACAGCTTTTGCCATTGGCTCTGGCAAGAAGAAGAGACAGACTCAGGGCAGATATTCAATTATCTCCCTTGGAACTGATGTCTGGAATTCCTTACCCTGGTAATTCTCCACCTAGAGCAGGGTGGAGATGAGGGATGTACATTTAAGGCAGTCTGTGGCCACAATCCTGTCTCTTGTGAAATCTCTCCCACAGGAAGCTGGGCTGGCACTGAGCCTGCCCTGGCACTTTGCTGCTGCCAACACCCAGCCAGGACATCGGCTCCTTCCTAAGGAGTGCAAAGCAGCACCACTGGTGGCCAAGGGGCCCATGCCAAGTGTCCCTGAGGCCAGAAACAGCCGCCAGCACAGCTCAACACGGGGGGACCCCTCAGCCTGGCCTCAAGGGGTCTGAAGCCCCGCAGATTTGCACTTCCCGCCTGCAGCAGGAGGATGGGAGGCCGCCCCTGAGCCTGCCCTGAAGGCAACGCAGCAGCAGCCAGGGCTCCACAGCGGGCCAAGCCCCTGCGCCTGCCCACAGATCCTCGCCTGGAATCCTCTGCAATCCTGGCCACCCTCCTCTGCCATCTCCAGCCCCTGGCAGGACAATCCTTATTGTCACTGTTTTCTTTATGTTAAATTGTTTCTGTGCCTTCGGTTGCCACAGGTGGTGGGGAAGACAATGTGAGAATTTGACTAAATAATTAGATTACACTATTAGAATATTTTCCTTAATAGTTTATATTGTCAGTCAGGGTTGGGCCAGAGGTAGGAGAATCAATTTGCAGCCTTAGGAGAAGAAGCAGCAGAAGTTCTTAATTTTAGCAATTGTTGGGTCAGGAGGGGCATGAGCACCTGAAAGCTGGCCATGGGTGACCAGCCAAGCCGCACTTAAATGGTGGGTCAGCACCTCGAGTGAGGTCCATAATGGAACGGGATTTTGGGATGAGGAAGGAAGTCCATGGCAGCTTCATTGCTCTGAAAGAGGTATTTATTGCCTAAAAAGGACGGGTGTTTATTCACAAATGCAGGAAAAAGCATTTGTGAATAAACCTTGCCTTTGGGTTTAGACTGTTGGACCCCCAACTGCCCTCCTTATGATTGTTGCAAATACTGAGGCAGATGGAATGAAACCCAGTCAGATGAGAAATGGAACATTTCAACATCAGACAGTATTATGTTATCTACATCAGATAGTATTATATTATCTATTAGCATGAAAAGGAGAAGTTTTTGCAAAATTAAACAACTCAAGGACAGAATTATGTCATTGGGTCAAAGAAGACCCAGGAAGAGAAGATTAAATCAATGGTATTTAAAGTTTGTAAAGGCAATTACTAAGAAAATAAAAGAGGAGGGATTGAAACAAATAAGACGAATGTGTCTTTACAAACAGACCGTGTGAATCTGCTTGGGGATAGGGCCATGCACTCAGAGATAGGGAAGTAACAAAAGAAGCTATTAGCTCTGGAGAATGTACTGATCAACACAGACTGTTGCTCAGCCAAGGCCCTGTTAAATTCCTGAACCTAGAGCATGAGAACACAGACTTAGTCAAATAATGAGTAGGTTTTTCTTTCTTTTATATAATGAAAGGGGGGTGCATATTGGGAGGGGGTGCATAGAGCAGGCGATTCGGTAACTCTGTACCTTCTGATTACCTTGGCCGTGGGAAAAAGGAAGAGGGTGATGCAGCAGGAATTGTAAGATAAAAGAGAGGCTGCATCCTCCAACCATCTGAGAGACCCCACGGGAAATGCCCCATGGCCTCTCCCTTTATTCGAATAAAGTTACAAGACCCCTCTGTCTCCTTTTTGGATATAAACCTCTGACATGGTGGGTTAATTCCACACACATTCACCCACCCCGACCCACCCAGCCCGCGTTTTCCCCCTCACCACCCCCCTGGTGCTGCACTGAGGCCGGCTGAGGCCTGTCGGAGCGCGGAACGCGGAGAGCGGCGCCGCCGGGTCCCACAGAGCGCCCTCAGCGCTGCCGACAGCCCCCGCGCCGCCTCAGCCGCCCTCAGCCGCCCTCAGCCGCTCCGGCCGGTCCCGTTTGCGGGCCGGGGGACACTCACCGGCACCGGGGTCACCGGAAAGGCCCTGGCACCCGCTGGGCTCCGCCGGGACCTCCCAGAGCCGCGGCGTTGCCTGCAGGTCCCGGAGCCCCGCGGCGAGCAGAGGAAATGGTTACGGACCGCCCCGCCCCGCCCCGCGGGAATGGGAGCGGCAGGGCCCGGAGGCCGCTCCTCCCCCATGTTATGAATAAGAAACTTGACTAGGCCAATATTCAAGCAGCAATCAATTTATTATTTAACATGGTAAAGTATGAGCAATACAGCGCTGGGTACAGTGCGGGAAGTTTTCCCTCCAACTGCACACCGATAATTGATGGTTACAGGTATTTATTGATGGTTACAGGTATTTATAGGGGTCCCCATCATTTTTTTTCAGCAGTTTCTATTTCCAATTTTTACTCATCAGCAATTTTTATTCCAAATTATTACATCATAACTCTATACACTATTGTGATTTTAATTTCACAGGATGTATCTCAAAGGAGTATCCCCAGATGGTGATGGTCCGGTTTCTGAAAGAAGAAAGAGGAATCCCATCTGGTGGGGTCCAGCTCCCCAGATGTGTCCACCTTTTAATTGCAGAGACTCTAAATCTCATAACAGTGATGTCCAGCTTCCCTTTGGTCAAAACCATAAACCCTTCAGTTGATGTTCATCTTCCTTTCTCAAGCTGTTTTTCTCTGCTTCAATAAGGCGTGAGATAAGCATGTTTCCTTTATATATATTCCAAAGCTATAGTTTCAAGGATACAAGTAATATTCTAAAATTATACTTCAGAAGGTTATTATTGCAGAGCTGCTTATGGATTAAATGCAAGCAAAAAGCAACATCTTTAACACCTTAATTCCAATGCTCCTAAATCAATCAGGGTTAATTGCAAACAAAAGATAGGTTCAAAGGCCTTTTTCCATGCTTTATTTTCCTCAGTTATTATTAGAATTCACAGCTCTCCCATTGTCGAGGTCCACACATTTTGCATTCACAAATGCACACGTCTCCTGTTTGTACCTGACACGAAACACAGCTTTGTATTTCACACCCATTCCCCAGTGCCTCCCAATAACCTTCCCATGCACCTTCCCCAGTCCATCCCAGTGCCCTCCCAGTTCCCTCCCGGTACTCCCTGGTGCCCGCCAGCAACCTCCCAGTAACTTCCCAGTCCCCACCCAGTTTCTCCCTGTGAAAAACGCCAATCACTTGTTTTTAAAATTTTTAAAAGTTTAATAGTAATAAAATGGTTAAAAAGAATAGTAACACGATTAGAGTAATAACAATTTGGACAAATTGAATTAGGACATTATGAGACAATAAAAGTAAACAATTACAGACATCCGAGTACCTTTTTCTGGGCATCAGGAGCCGAAAAAGGACCCCCGTTAACAAAGGATTAACGCTTAAGAACAACAGCCTGTTGCATATTCATACACCTCATACACGATGCATAAATTCCATTCAAACACAGGATTCCGTCTGGTCTTCATCAACTTCTCCCCTCTAATCCTAACAGCGCCTTCGAGGCGGGAAGAAGTTCGTTTCTTCTGATAAGAGGGCAATAAATTCATTTTCTCTGGAAGATTTAGGTGTCCTGCTATCTCGCTGCAAGTCCTTTCCTTTAAACAAAGCATCTTCCATAGCACAGTTTCTATTTTAACAATTTTTATAACCTAAAACTATATTTAACACAGTACTTAAGAGAATTAATACAGCATTGCTTTCTAACACAACACATATAATATTCATTTTAATATTTGCAAAAAGCCAATCATAAAATACATGCATTTTTCACATCCCAGTCCATCCCAGTCCCCATGAATTCCCTCCCAGTGCCCTTTCCAGTTACTCCCAGTCTCCTCCCAGTGCCCACCAATTACCACACAGTAACTTCCCA